CGTCGTCGTCGTCGGATGATGATGATGATGATGATGATGATGATGATGATGATGATGATGATGATGATGAGGATGATGAGGATGATGAGGATGATGAGGATGATGAGGATGATGAGGAGGAGGAGGAGAAAGAAGGAGGAGGAGGAAGAGGAGGAGGAGGATGTTGATTATCCCTGGCGTGGCCTTTACACAACCTGGCAGTGGGTCGATTCGATCTGAGGGCGGCGTCGTCGTCGTCGCCGTCGACGGCACCGCCGTCGTCGTCGTCGTCGTCGTCGTCGTCGTCGTCGTCGAAGTTGCTGTTGCCGTATTGTAGTCGCCGTCGTCGGAGGAGGAGGTTGAATGTCCTTCGTATGCTTCTCCTTCATCCTCTCTTCTCCGTCATCTCCTCTTCCTATCCTCCCTTCTTTCTCTTTCCTCCTGCCTCCTGCATCCCCCCTCCCTCCTCCTGCTCCTCATCCTCCTGCTCCTCCCCCCCTCCTCCTCCTCCTCCTGCCCCTCCTCCTCCTCCTCCCCCTCCTCCTCCTCCTCCTCCTTCCTTCTCCCTCCTCCTTGCTCCCCCCCTTCTCCTCCTCCTCCTCCTCCTCCTCCTCCTCCTCCTCCTCCTCCTCCCTCCTCCCCTCCTTCTCCTCCTCCTCCTCCTCCTCCTCCTCCTCCTCTGACTCCTCCTCTGACTCCTCCTCTGACTCCTCCTCCTCCTCCTCGTCCCACCCGCCTCGACGACCTGGCAGTACCACAGGGACTTCGCCCCAACACTACCCCGTGCAACGTCGGGCGGAAAGCCGCCAAGGCATTACTTAATATCAAGGACAACGTTCCTCGCGACCACGGCCCCCTGATCGCCAGCGCCATCACCATCATTAGCATCGCCCCAAACATCTTTACAGACTAGCAAGGGATGGCACGGGATTTCGACAAGATGGCGGCATCTCACTAGACGGGCAAGAACCGCCAAGAGTTCATCACCGCCTTGGAGACAACATTTGCGAACGAGCTCGGCACCACCAAACAGTTAACACCCGGTAAACGCAACAGGTGCAGGAGCGCCTTCGACTCCGGAAATTACTCCCAGAATCACGGGAAACATACATTGGAGGGGATTGCGTGGCGGACATCGAGAAACAACTCGACCTAATCACGCGGGACCTCAAGAGGCATAATCAAGGCCACTACATAGGCACAGCGCGGAATCGAGACCCTCACTCTCGAAGCTTGGATTAAGCAAGACCGCGTCGAAACTTAAAAGGTTTTCCAGATGCGTGGCAGACACCAGCCACGGCAAGCAGAACCGCACTTACAGCACAGCCACCAAAACAGCACCCAGGTTTGCATAATGATCCCAACGCGTAGCGCTCAAGTGCAAGGACGGCGGTTTCGAGGCTTACCCGGTATACCTGAACGAGGGGAAGGCGATCCGCAAGGATAGCTCTGAGAACTTCTCGAGCGAGCTCAAGCACAATATCTAAGAGTGGAGGAGGCGTCCAGGGACAACGCTTGGAAGGTTTTCTTCGGGGTCAAGCGGCCCATGTACTTGAAGAAGCGCGCCTCGGTCGCCAAGTGGCCCCTGCCTGCCGAGCTCTTCCAGGTCATCCTGCGGCCGACCAAGGTCACAAAGAGCAAGCCGCAGACCAAGGGCTTGGATTTCAACGACGGGCTGATCGAGGAGTTCTCAACCATGCCTGCAGAGTCGGTTTCACTCTTACTGGGTGCACGTCATAGCCAGTTCTTCACGCTGGGCAAGATGAACGGCAAGCCTACGGTGAAGGGCCTAAGCATCCTACACATGGTCTGTCCATTTAGGCGATGCGTGTTCAGTCAGCTGCAGCGCAGATCGGAGCCTTGACCCCCTCCGCCACATGCCCTTGGAGGCTGGCCACAGCGCAGGAGGGAAGCACCGATGCCAGCCACCAGGTTCGCGGCCTGTCGTCAAAGGGCCAACCCCCACTTCATCGTGGGCAGCAAGGGCGCCGCCAACGCATTCCCGCGTGCGAAAACCGACAAAGCAGACGAGATGGGCACCGCCAGCCGCTCCAGCGCGGAGTAGCGCCTCGTCACCTATACAAATGTGCAAACGTGCAGGTCGACGGCTTCGACCCAGCGGGCGACTTCGCACTGGGCTCTGGAGCTATGCCAGGTTGCAGTGCGGGCCCCGCATCATTAGACTTCGTTTGCGTGCAGCCAGGCGGGGACTGGTCAGACGAGACCATGCAGGACTCCGTTCCAGTCGCAGCCGTCTCCCCCATCACTCACAGGACGCTCGGCCTCTCGGCGCACCTCCGCGCGGGCGACGCCCTCGAGCCCCGCGTAGTCAGCATGGGGAAGGCCAATGCCGCAGGCGGCGAAGCCAGAGGGCGATGGGGGCATTTGGCAATCCATGGGACGGAGCTCTTGCAAAAGGCAGCGGTGCCAGTGGCAGCGGCATCTCGACCCAAGAGAGGCGGATCAATGTAACATGACAAGGTCGACCCCGAGCCGAAGGAGCTCCCCGCTCTCCTCATCG